GACGTCCAAGGAAGTTACGTCACGGACTGGCTTGGCGCCGCCCGTCAGAAACATGTGACGGACCTCCAAGTGGCGCTTGAAGAAATGCACCGCAACGTGGCGGTGCGAAGCAACAAGTTGCGTCAGCAAGCGCGTCGACACCGCGACCGAAAGTCCCAAGTCAAGTTTGCGGGTTTATCGTTCGGCGATTTTGTGCTCGTCGGATCGGTCGTCAACCGTCCGACAAAATTGGCCCTGCATTGGCGCGGGCCCTGCCAAGTGATCAGAGTCATCACAGACCATGTGATGAAGACTCAGCAGCTGGTGCCACCGTATGAAGTCACGGGCCATCACGCGTGCCGATTGAAGATGTACCACGAAGGTGGTAGAGAGGTAACCGAGGACCTCGAGGAGCAGATCGCGTTTGGCGATGGCGGATTTCATGTCGAGCGCCTGGACGAAGCGCTGCGTGGACGGCCAACACCAAGGTTTGGTGAAGTGGCTTGGACTTGACGATGAAGAATCGTCCTGGGAACCTGCGGCGAATTTCCTGGACGACATTCTAGTCGTATTTCGCAAGAGAGCGGCGGCGAAGAAGGAAGACCCTGTCGTGGCCGGGAAGTGTTCTGTAGCGTGCAGAGCAATTGGGTCGCGCGTTAGTTTGACCCATTGCAAACACACAATCTGTGTGTGTGGCGTGTGAAAGGTTCCGATATCTTAGTGGAGGTACTGAGTACTTTAGTGAATGGTAGTCAGTAGGCGCCTCGTGGCGTGTTTAACCTCACTAATGTCAGTGTGTATATTTTGCTGCCTTGACGAAGGTCCCGTGGCCGAAAGCCAAGAAGAAGCGGGAGACAAAACACGTACTCGTCGAACTCGCCGTGCCTCACTCATGTGAATAGGATAAAAACGTGTGGCCATTTGACTTTGTACTGATGGCCACCGAAAATGTCATGTGTTGGTGTTTTGCTCGTGGTTAAACTGTGGAACTTAACGAGAATTGCTTGGGCATATCTAGCCTCATGCGTATCGACGTGTAGGCATTTGAACTGTATGGTATGACCAGCACTACAGCCTCAAAGTATACTCTACCACGGTTACCGTACAATACCTTCGCAAGGATATAGGGCCCACGGCTTGTTTGCTTGTTTTACGTTAGCTATGATGGAGTGATATTAGACTTACTGGGCTTCTCGACTATGAATCAACAACCCAGTAATGCCCACTAAGTAAACTCCACCACACCATTTTAACCACGAGTGAAGCCCCACGTCTAACTCTACCTGAAAATCCACGAGCAAAACCCCAAAGCACCACTAGTCAAAAACTGCCTCCCCTCGCTTGCATGCTCGCACTAACATATTTCGAAGTAAAAATTAACATCAAATCTTGTCTTCACTGTATTAATTAAAACAACTAAGTTAGTACTGTTTTAATTAAGTACTAATTTACGTAGTAGTACCATAGTAGTACTGTTTTAAATAGAACTACTATTAATAGTACTTCGAAGTACTATAGAACTTCGAGGTACTAGTACTGTAGTAGTACTATTTTAATCAGGGAATTGTTAGACCACAGCAACGCCCTAGCTCACGAAATGGATGGTTGGGACGCGTACAACATGCTCACGCACCTCTTGCCATTAAGTCAACTTTGGCATCATAAATGCATGTATCCAACAGGGTGGCCGACATTCTTGCCAAAAAAATCAGCTACTGTATCGCACTTTCAAAGATGAAGGATCCACATTGAAGTAACACTTGCAGTACGGTGGATTGATACACTGCGCGACATACGATCGTACTATCCGCATACCCTTGCTTTCAGTTGGAAGGGCAGTAGAATTACTTCTGACTGGAAAGAACCAGCCAATCAAAACTAACTATGATTGATCACGACATCCAATGATGTTTCGTGACCAAATGTCTGCGCTGACTTCTACTCTGAGGAAAAGCCTCTAGAAGGCACAAAAACCTCCTACACAGCTAGCAGACGCTGCTACCTGACTGACAGGGCAGTGGGGATGTTCTCTATCAGAACAGGGTGTTCTGACTCTTTCTTCGTGGCTGTTGGTGGTCGAGGTTTTCTAGGCAGTCAAAGATGTAATCAAGTTAGTACGACTTTTTCGGTGGCAATTGCAGAATTAACACGAACCTACTGAGCGTCGAAAGAACCGAACTGGGGGTGAAGGAGGCTAAGGGTGCACGGGGATACGTACCCATATCTGTGGTGGTTAATTCAGTTTTGGATTACTTAGTATCACGTCCATTAGGGTTAACCATGCGTTTGACTTCCCGTCAAACGCATGACATTCCTCCGCGAGGGCCGATACTGTGGTGGGATTGACTGAGTAAACATGCTTTCTGATCAAAAGGACGTACAATTCCCTCATTAATACAGTTCCACGTTGTTTTCACCCGAAATACTGTTTCCATGAGGTTTATATGGAAATTTATATGCTCAGACCACCTCACCTCTTAACCCCGGAGATTTAGAATCGTATGTACTACGGTACGTAGTACTCACCGGGACAGGGCTACTGGCGAAAAGGTGTATCCGGATGTAATAATTCCTTCATTGAAACAGTATATTTTGGGCCAAAACAACAGTGGAACTGTTTTAATGAGGGAATTATTCCAAAACGACCGACTGGGTGACCGTGTCCAACAACCACGAATGAGGTTACGATCAGTAGTTCGGGTTAATGAGCATCAGATCATGTAAATTGGAAATAACCCATGCGACTTCCAATAAAACGACTAACTTTAACTATTTCGGACGTGATGTAGTATCACAATTTCACCTACTCATACTATTCGGAATTTTCCTACTACCTGATTCTTCGTACATTGTACTGACAAGTTACGAAGTCCACAACTTTCTTCAGCAATCTCGCATTGTTTTCGGAGCTGAATCGAGTCTGTTTGTACTATAATAGTACCCAAAACGTGTACAAGTTGAACTGTAAGTGGATAGTACGATCATATGTCGTGCAGTATATGAATCCACCGTACTGCAAGTGTTACTTTACATGTTAATGTGGATCCATCATCCTATGAAAGTGCGATACTGTAAGTTAGCGGATTTTTCTGGCAAGAATGTCGTCCACGCTGTTGGATATTTATGATGCCTAAGTTGATTTAAGCTTAATGATAAGAGGTGCGTGAGTGCATGTATGCATGTTGTACGCATCCCAACCATCCATTTGGTTACAGATAACGAGGGAAATACTTGCCAATTGGTACTGTACTGTTCAAATATCTAGCAATTTGTATGATCAATATTATTTTGCAAATCGATTACTGCTCTGTACTTTAATTGTAACCTCCTTCGAAGTGTCACAGATTTGAAGTCGGATTGGCCAATTTTCAACCAATTGGAGACTTCAAAACTAGACGACGACGACGACGGCAACAGAGTCAAAATATCAAATCACTTTCGTCGGCCGAAATACCGCAAAACACACACGCATTGAAATTGCACACACTACCGTGAAGGTACATACTGTACATGGAATTAACATGCCTTTCACAAGCTGTGATGTTATCGTTGACATCTTAAGAACCTAGGCTCTCATGTTGCACGCATGTTGATCTTCTCCTGGCAGTACTGACGGCTTTTGTTATATCTTGTATTCGCTGTGTACCGTATACTACGAAGTACTCGATATACAGTACAGTACCGGTGCCTGCATCTGATGTTCGAGAAAGGTACTACTACGTAGTATTACTGTCCTTCTCAATAACAACCCAGTACTTGAATTGATTTGCATGGTACAGTACATATTTCGACCAAGGGAGGTTAAAATATGTTCGACATGATTTCTCTTACAAACTACAAGATAAAATGACCATTGTTTGTGGTCCCAGCTATTTTAACTTCAAGTACCCACGGATATGAATGAACAAACGCCTGGTCGTGATACAGAATAATTGCCATTTTCTATTATTTGTTGTACAAACTTGACAGACATTACATCATGCGTGCCGTCGTGGTAAAAACAGTCACCCATTGGCTAATAAGGAGATTTCGCAATGAACGATATCGTTCTCTTTCCGCTCCGGCGAAAAAACCTCTATGATCAAATTCCGGAACGACAAAACCTGTCTACAATTGATGCATATGTCTGCAAAATGGCTGGCTGAACGATAGTCTGTCGTTCAAAAAACTCTAGCAATGCATCAACATGTATAAACTTTCAAAGCGCTTGGTGACGTGCTCGACAATCACAAAAATGAGTGTCGA